AGGAAAAACACAAAGACCCAATTCGCTTGGATCATTTAACACATCCCAGGCCCACCGTTCGAACTGTCACTGAACAGCTCACTTAAGACCCAGAGGCCAACAAGGCGCGACCGACATCCAGCCAACCTTCTCACCTATGGTGAGGTTGTCACGAGACGGCCAGTCAGCCGGGTTGGCATCTGTTGCCACACGATCTATAAAAACCCTTGCCTGGAGCTTGAGGACTAGATCCCAAAAACAAGCTACGAGCAGGCATAGGTCCTCTTTACTTGAATAACCCTTGACCAAGGCGGCTTCAACCACCTCCGAGTCGATAAAAATGAGCAAATCAGCCTGAAAAAGTCGGTCCGAAAAAGTTTCAAGAGCTAAGATCGGTGCCAGCATTTCCACAGGAATTATCTGCGTCTGGCGAGCCGACCACTTCTGTTTCACTTCGAACGGAACGACCTCAGTGAACTGGAGAGCATGGTTCATGCGTCTGTCGAACAGTACAGCTCCTACCCGGTCGGGTAGCTTCACGCTGTCCCTCGGATCGGGGGAAAAACCGTCCGTGAAAAGAACTGCATCTGCCATCTTGAAGGCGCACATGTCGATCGTCCGAGGCGGACCGCAAGCTACGAGCTTCTTCCATTGCAGCAGTGACTCTTTCAAGGCTCGATCGAGCCCGAACACTTCCGAGTTGGAAACCCGAGCATACTGTCGTTCCGAAATTGACCTCAGAAAAGCACGACCGACCTTCCCCCACAGTTGGCTAGCCCCGAACATGAGTTTGCCCTTGAGTTTCCCAGCATGACCAGGTTCGAGAACACCTGAGGCTAGGATGCTCTCGAGTTCGTCGAGCAGCTCTTTCTGACGATCTGCTTTGATTCCAAGGACCCAGTCTACGAGGTTGTATGTCACTCCAAGGATGGTGGGCTTCGAACTGAGCTGCAGTTTCTTTGCATCAAGCCGAGCACCAAGCCACCAATGCACCGATTGTGCTGCCAAGAAAGCTGACTCAACAAGCTCGACCGGCTCGAAACCGTACTTGTCGTCATAGAAATTAAAGGCCACTAAATTGAACAACTTCATAAGGATCTCATTGATGGCCGCCGAACGACGATTGTAATTGTATACAGCGGACACAAGCCCAAAAGAATGACCTACCGTGACAAAGAAAGCCGGCTGTCCCGAGCTGGGATCCTTCAAACAGATCACACTGAACTTTCTGTGCTCTGGGCGGATCCCCACTTGTCGGTAAGCTTTGCGCTCGTCAAGAACCCAACCAGCAAACTTCGCTCCAGGTAGAGATGATCTCAGTAATCTCAGAGCAGCTACGTTGGTGTCTGTCGATGGCAACTGGAGCTTCTCCGTGATCACGGTGATCTGGTTCACCAAATTCGTAGTCGCACTATCGCAACCACGGACTTTGTTCTTTTGAACGACTTCGAATCTCTGAGTCGGAATCCACTCATCATTGCCGAGCAACTGCGTCACTTCATCTGTTGAACTGAAAGGCCCGAGCGTCGACCCCTCAGCCACATCCTCCAAGGTGGCTTCCCAGATTTTGGCGAGGTTCTCCGAAACAGGCACACCTTTCACTCGAGCAATGATCTTTGAGCGTATCCCCCAGGCCCTATCAACAGCATGCTGAACAGGTAGTTGGGGTTGAGGCTTTTCGTAAGCTGGCCAGCGCCGCGAGCGGGCAATTGGCCCCACAATGGGGAAGCCCTGCAAGAGCAAGTCAGGCAGAAAAGCGTCGACCGATTCACATGCTTGGAGCATCTCATAGTAGAGGGCGACATGGCAGCACTGACCTAGCACCAGAGGCACCCCATCCGGCACCCCACGTAGGAGATGTCGCAAGGCCCGATCGGGCACTGCCGAGAGCAGATCGCTCGTCTCAGGGAGCAACGCCACTGCGCGATGCCCCCAATGTTGCAGAGCATGTTGACGCTGCTGCTGCACTTGTCCTGGGCTCCGAGCGAGTCGCAGGATGACCTCCCGGAGGGGGTTGTCCAGCTCCACCTCGACTGACAAAGGGTGCGGGATGGCGAGCGCCCAGGCGATCGCAACACCAGGTTCTGTCTCCATGTCGAGCAGCGGCTTGCGAGCGCCACGCTTGAGCTGGTAACCAGCCGCTTCTGCCTTGAGGGCGGTCAGAGCTTGGCGATGATCCCGCCAACGCAGCGGTTGCCCTACAGGCCGTTTGCGCTTGTCGGATGTCAGACTGAAGCTTGCGTTGAACTGAGGCAAAGACTGATCCCAACAAATGACAATGCAACTGGCCATAGCAGAGCACATCCGACCAGGGTAAACTTGTGCGAGCTTGGTTCGAAAGACTTCCTTTTGGAAGAAGGAGGACCACACTTTCCCATGAAGACGAACATGTTGATGGCCGCCAGTACACCGGCGCTCCAAGCGTGTGAACACTTGGTGCGAAACCAGCAGAGTCGTTGGCTTGACCGAAGGTGCACCGAACTCGCATTGGTCGAAGCTGACTAAGAAAGCACGACAGATGCGAAGCAGCGTCTGCGTCGGTTGAGCACACCACAACAAGCTGGCTTCCGGGTTCTCGATCGAGAAATTGCCTCCTTGAGCGAAAACAGCAGCACATGCTTCCGCCGAGCGGATCAAAAACAGATTACCCAGGAAAACGAGGTTCATGTTCTCCTCCGAGAGGCCAGGAAGACCCAAAGGGAAAGCTGTCGATCGCAGTGGCGGAGGGCCGCCATCGAGCTTCCGGGCGCTCGAAAAGGTGTTGCACGGTGTACCGCAGTGAATGAACATTATGGCCCCGGACTTGCACAGTGTGAAGATGAAATCCCAT